AAGGAGCCTAACCAACGCGGAAAATAACAGAGAATCAGGAGCTATCCCAGCTCCCACTGGGCAATTCTTTTTCAGCAGCACTGGCAGAGAATCAAGAGCTATCCCAGCTCCAACTGGGCAATTCTTTTTCAGCAGCACTGGCCAGTCATTTTTATGCTCTGTCTCAGCTTCTCCTTTTGTGAGATGAGGATAAAAAGTTTTACCTTTTTCAGAATGTGGCTGTAACAATTGCCTGGGAATACTGTAAAATAGCACATGCAGTTTGTACTTAAAAAAAAAAAAATTACCCTGGACATCATCGCATTCGGGGGTTTCAATTTTATCCATCAGATCATTGGAACTCCATTTGGTTATTTCTTTCGGGAACATTTCCTCATTGTCAGACAAGTCCTCTTTAAAAAACAGAGTTTTTGAGAGTCACATACACAAATACAAATACAGACAAGAGCACAGAACAGAACTGTAAATAAGTAAGGCTCCATAACTCTAAGTAACCTTATAAACATTTGGATGGCTTAAGTCACAATAAAACACAATACTTTACCAGCTTTTGTTATATAGAAACCAAAGAACAATTGGAAAAGTAAACAGAATATTGCAGTTGCATGTTTTTAACAAACAAAACTCCTAAAGCATGGAAAAAATAACACGGATTTTTAATGCTACCATTTCAGGTACCAAGTTTGATGTTTTTCTTGCTGTACTTTCTGATGATGCTGAAGCACCCAGAACGCTCCAGTACAGGAGAGGACAAAGCGACGTTTGCCACTGGGATCCTCCCAGACCTGTCTGGAAGCTGAGGGGTGTCTCTGGGGGAAGCAGTGACAAGGATCGCTATTGTTACAGGACCCAAGACCTAACAAGGCATGAGTAACAACAGAAACGTGAACTCCCTGGGCTATCTTTAGCCTCATTTCCTTAGGAGATGAGCCCTGTGTGATCACACCCAGTGTACATCTCTGCCAGCTCCCTCCTGCCCCAGGATCTCCCGAATCCCCTCCCTCAGCTCAACTCCAGTTGAGAAAGAATAAGGGTCCCAAAAATATTATGTTCCTAGAAGTGTAATTAAAAGGAAGGGAGATAAAGGAGAAACCCTATAAAACGCCCCTCAATCGTATCCAAACTGCTTCTGTCAAACCAGAGGCGGAAGAGAGATAAAGGAGAAACCCTATAAAATACCCCACAACAGTATCCAAACTGCTTCTGTCAAACCAGAGGTTCTCCGGGACAGCAGCAGCCTCCACGCTTCAGGATTAAACCTGGCAGGCTCTCTGTGGCAAGGCACGTCTTAAAGACACCTTTAGTTTGTGTTGCTGGTTCGGTGGCAACACAAGTCTTAAAAAGACACCTTTAGTTTGTGTTGCTGGTTCTCTTTTTTTTTTTCCTCCTTTCTCTTTTTTTTTACATTCAGGATATCTCTTTTACTGCTACAGAGGTTAAGTGCTTTCCAATTTATTTCCCTTTTTTTTTTTTCCCCTCCTTTCTCTTTTCTTACATTCAGGATACCTCTTTTACTGTTACAGAGGTTAAGTGCTTTCCAATTTATTTACTGCTTTGTGCTTGGTATTTTTTTTCCTGAAAATTTTTGGGCTTGTCAGAGTTATAAACATAACAATACCAGGAGTAATTACAGGTGTCTTGAAGATCTAAAAGCTGTAATCTTCAGAGCCCCAGACTAGGATTCCCCCTTTCTTGGTGCTGTACAGTTACTAAGAAAATAATTAGTTGGAAGAATCCTAGGATGGGGAACAAAAAGATTACGAAATATATTCATCTTTTCAGATGAATCAGTGCAGAGCCAAGCAAAGACCGATTATTTTTAGGAGTTTCTGTTTACACTTTGACCATAAAAAGAGAGCAACTTGGAAACTGCATCAGCATGCCAGTTCCTTTTTCAGCTACGGAAAAAAATTTGAGTAAATCCCCATTTCCTTGCACAAGGGAGTGTGGAGCTACCTGTTCAGAGCGAGTGGAAAGCACAAGCATGTAACACACATGCTGGCAGAGAATTAAGGGGACGATTGCACTCAAAGCTCCTCCAGCAACTTAATCTAAATATTAAACTTATTTCCTTGAAAGGTTTAATTACAGCCCTTATTGCTGCTCAAGTGTGCACTGAATGGGATATTACTCCCATTATTAGCATTTATTACAGGATAGATATTCGATATTACTGTATTTGTCACCACCAGAGCATGCCAGGGAACGAGGATGAGCGGAACCCGGCGACAAGAAATCCTCTCGGGCTCAGGCTACGCCCACCGCACTGTGAGGAAATGTGTGTGTGTGTATGGGAAGCACTTCTGAGGAACCCTGCTCGCCATTGACTCACATCCTGATCCGTGCCAGTTCCCATGGTACCCACCCGGCAGGATGAGCCGAGAGCCGGGCTCCATCCCTGCTCACAGCCCCGGAGCAGGGACACGTCATCCACGGGCCAAGGGGCAAGAAGAGGTCCCTCCCTCCCCAGGAGAGGGCTGTGTTGAACACCACACACATCAGGGCTTCAACTTGTAAGCCCAAATCCCATCAGAGCAGGCAGCTTTTCAAACCCCACTGTGCGGATCGCAGAGGACAATCTGTGCCTAAATGGGGACACGGTGCGTGCCAGCAGCAGAGGAGCTGCTTTTGCAAGCTCCTGGGAGTATTGCAACAGAGATGCTGATACCAACCATGGCACAAGGCTCATTTTTGCTGGTTCTCCTTCCCAGGCCTGTTAGGAGCACATCAGGGGTTCCCTGGGGGCCTGGATCCCAGGCAGAGCCATCCCTATCTCAGTTTTATCACTGAGTAATTAAAAAGGCAAAAAAGAGGGTGGATAGCAATGATGCCGTTTTGATGACTCACTCCTCTTTTCTTGTATGTATATTGCTACAACAAATCCTTTACATAGTTGTTGTGGATGCTACGTACATTTATAAATAGAGACACTTAAAGCTGACCCTTCTCCTTCCAGGCAAGAGGCACGTTCCCCCCTGACGCGCACGCATCCCGGCCATTTAAACTGCTCTGGTGCAAGTCACCGCCCTCCAACAGCATGCTGCTTTCTACCCCAGAATTTGGGATGCATGCCTGAATACCTGATGGGAGAACTCTCCTGGAACATGACACTATCAATTCTTTGAGACTGAACTTCATCTGAACATCAGTGAAAATCTATCTGAACCATCAGGGAAATTCTGCTTTGCAAAACTGGGGCGTGATCTTCTAGCAACTGCACTTCACAGAAAGGTCACCAACTTCATCAGCACATGTTGAGAGTCTAACTTAGATTAGCATTACGAGCCGAGAGAAGAGTCCATCTGTCGTCAGTAGAGACGGGGCCCTTCAGGCTTACATATGCATTAGGTACCATATATAAAATGAGTGCAGCAGAACAAAGCTTCTTCACACACGTGCACAGAGAGAAAAACCAAAACCACTGCTTTCTCCTTATGTGGATAATCAAAATTATTTTGACAATCCAGGAATCAACACCAATTAATTTTGGCACCTGAAATAGCTTGTTGCATTCGCTATTGTATTTCTTGGAACAGGAGAATAAGGAGTTAATAAAGGCAAACTTGGGTCTCTTTAAGCCCAGACAGGACAATGAATCATACCTCCTAAAGATTAAAAAAATCAATTAGAAAAATAATCAAGTCATACTGAATCGGAATCATTAGGACACACCCACAGCCCAGCTAGTATTCCTGGATTTTACCCACATTCATTTGCACCCTATAAAATACAGCTCCAAAGATTAAGGCTGTTCAAGGTCTCTTCAAATAGATCCCACTGCATCCGAAATGTTGCTGTGTTAAATGTGAGTCTGCTGGGTGGTGCTGGGGATGCTGGAGGAAGCTGCACTGATGCTGCACAGATCTTGGTTAGAAAGGAAAAGGCTTCAAACAAAGCAAAAAAATAAAAAAAGTCTCGCTTCCTTCCCCGCTCACCCCCTACCCTCACGCCTTCCGTTCTCTTACCCCACCATGTCAGGAAACAAACGATGGCGATTTAGGCTCCACGTACCATGTGCATCAAAGAATTCATCATCTGAGCTGTCATCCGAGTCTCTGGCAATGCTCTGCATCCTCCACTCGGAGATACTATGGTGTGAGGGACTTGCTGGAAAAAACAAAAAAGCCTGATGCGATAGGCTACATCGGCAAGACGCAGAGTTCCCAACATGATCTTTGCTGGAGGAAGAGTCCTGTGTTCTCTATGAAAATTCACTGCTGCAATATTAAAAGACACAAACCCCCCGATGATGCTGGTGTGATGTCAGTGTACCACTTTACAGATCCTGCTTGTTCACTGTTGTTAGAACCTGCCGGCAAGATGCTACAAAAGCAAGCTGCTTGTATCGCTCTTGTGCTATTTTGAATGGTGGCTATTTATAATTGTTAGGAGGACGTGCAAAATCAGCTGGGTTTTGAAGTTTGCAATTAGGAAGGAAGCAGGCTGATTGGAAGCTTTCTTCGTGCCTCTCATCAGCGCACAAACAGCTTCGCTAACTTTCGGGTGGGTAGCTCAGCAGAGCAGCCTGCATAGAAATCATCTGTTTTCTGGAAGGAAATTGCTTCCGCACAAATTGGATTAGAGATCTATTTAAACTTTAAACTTGAATGATTTAACCCACATGCTATCCAACTACTTCAGAGGGAGCTGTCAGAGCGGCGAGGAGAAAACCCAACGGTCCTCTTGGCTCCTGGTTGCCCTCCTGTACTCACACCTACCTGCTCCCTTTCATTTTCCCCTCCAGAGTTCCCTGGGCTAAATATAAACATATTACAGCTTTTTTTCTATTTTTTTTTTCAGATTTAATTTAGCAACGATCCAGCCCAAACTCTTCTTGGCTGAACTCGTTACCGCACAGCCATCTGCTGAAGCCAGAGAACGGCGAGAGAGGGTTTCTCCCCTCTTTCCGACGGCTCTTGAACATCACCCAGTGCACAGGGAGCGCAGCAAAAACCCGAGGAGACCGACAAATTCCCATTTAGCATCTACAAAGAGGCTGAAAGGCTCTGGTTACTGTGACAGCTGCACGAGCCGTTTCACGCTATTGTTGTAACAGCATTAAATATGTCAAGTCAAATTCTTCCAATTTTGCTTCCCGGTTGTCACGTGGGAAGAGGAGGGAGACCCTCTGCAGAGTCATCTCATGGCAGCTCAGCGCTGGCTCCGCAGCCCCCAACCACCGCCCACCCCTTGGGGAGCAGCCAGCCAGGAGGTTGGCAGAGCAGAGCTAATTCACATCCGAGTGACGTCAAGGCACTCGTATAATAGTTGCTAAAAATAGAGCATATAATAACCTATGGGATGGTGACAAGGGTCCTGCTGTCACCAGAGGTCTCGCTCGGATGGTATAGAAAGGACCGAGATCTTTTTTCAGCTGGAGGTAGCGGTAAGGCGAGACAGCCCTCCCTGCTTCCATACGTTAACATGCTGCCAGCATGAAGAAGGATTAAAATATCTGCGTGACGTACTTCCCGGCACATCGCAATTCATTTCTTTCATTACTTTTTTTCTTGTAAAAGCGGAGACATTCTGCAGCTTAAAAGGTATTCACGCTTTGCTACCAGTGAAAACCTTCAAGTGAAATCCTACGAGGTCTGGAAACTCCAGTGAACATGTCAGCGCTGGAAGAAGGGGTTCGTAACAAAGAGCATAAGAAGAGATGGGCACATCAATATAAAATCCTGGTGCAAGCAAAGTAGCCAGCATTTTTTATCCTTATGCAATGGTTTATGAAGCATCTGGCAGGTTCTTCCCCGGGGCTCGCTCCAGTGAGTCATCGCAAGGTAAAACTACTGCTCATCTCTCATTCACCCTGCGATGAAATCAGGGATGGAGTGGTAAATAAAAACGGAGACTCAACTCACAATATTTAGTGCAGATGAGAGATGGAGAAGCTTCACTCACCCAGATGTCCCCTTCACCGTCACTGGAAAAAATGCTGCCCTTCGGGGTTTTCAGAAAAATCAATTTTTTTTTTGCCATCTTGCTGTGAGAGCTACTGCCCTGCTACGGGCTGTGCTTGAGTAGGAGAGGGAATTGCTGAGGGTTCAAGCTTTCTGCCTGGAACTCTCTGGGAAGAGGTGAATGACAAAATTCAGGACTCAAAGCCGAGCCCTTACAGAGCTCCTAAAAGCCACCAGTGGCTCTCGGGTCACAGGGACTAACTCCCTCTGTGCCGCTGTTTGTCATCTTCTGGGACACAACGGTGCCAGCCCGCTGCCACCTGCTCTCCTGCTGCTTTTTCATCGTTTCTCTACTTTGGAGATCGGCAAGAGTTCTGCCACGTGTCACTGAGTGACAGTTATGGGATGATCAGAAACATTCCCAAACCCATCCCAGGTCATCTGCAAAGACTGAGCCTGCAACACTAGCAGAGAAGGCCTCCGAGTTACACGGACATAGAGAAATACGCATTGTCCCCAGTGTGCCAGCCACGAGGAGACACGGTCGTACCTCCCGAAAGCCCACCCTCCGCGCAGCCTAGAGGAGCGAGTCACCAGCACCACCTTACCTCCTCTCTTTGAAGACCGTGAGGACTTGGAAGAGGTGGACCACTGCTTAGTGAGCGATCTTCCCGAGGCTGTTTCGCTATTACCGGCACCATCCTCTGTGTCAACAGGTGAAACCGTGTTGGCTTCAACATCCTTCTCCCCAGCAGCGTCTTTGACTCCGTGCTGCTCAGCATCATTCTCACTGCAGAATTGGGCCATCTTCTGCGCCAGCATCAGCTGTGCCTCCTTCTCCAGCTGCCGGATGTCCTCAATGGTGAGCCCGTACCATTCATCCTGCCAGCACCACGCCTGCCGATGGGCGCGGACCATGACCTTCCGCAAGCCTGCAAAGCCACAACACCCCGGTCACCAGTGCAGCAAAACGGCAGGAATCCATGCGTCCCCACCCCCAAAGCATCATGACACCGCGGCATGGGTATTATGGTTCTTGCTAACCAACGATGCACTGAAAAATGAGCCAGTGGTCTGCAACAGCTTTTAACTTGGGAAGGGATCTCCTAATTCCAGATCCAAGAGTTTGTCCTGTGACTGCCCACTCCACCAAGGGGGAGCCAGGCACAGACCACAGCTGCAACTCCCAGAAAGTTCTGGGAAGCTATTAACATTTGGATCCAGCCCTCAAAGTGAAGTATGTTCCCAGAAGAAGAAGAAAAAAAAAAAAAAAAAACCAAAAAACCAACATCAGCAACAAAAACCACTGGTGTTTTTTTTTGTTTTGTTTTGGTTTGGTTTTTTTTTGTTTTGTTTTTTTTTGTTTTTTTTTTTAATCCAGAAGAGTTTCAAGTGGTTCCTTCATGAACACTACACAGCCCACCACAACTGTCACATCCCACATCAGCAGCACTAAGATTAAAACCCCTCCTTTTCCTTGGAAACCTGGTTTCTGCCCCTGGTTTCTACAGATCAGCGAAACAGCATCATGAATACGAGCTTCTGAGATAATGGGATGGGAGGCAAAGTAAGGGAGGGAATAAAGATGCTTGATTTTGCAGATACCATCTGTCTTCTGCTGCATGAGAAAAATGAAGTGGGTAAAGCCAATTTAAAATATTTCAGCGCATCACATATCTGAGAGGAAGAACTGTCTTAAAAATCAACACTCAGGGCTCCTGACCAGACAACAGAAACTTTCCTCTAGGACTTAAAACTTGTTGGCTAACCCGTCACACCACCAAGAACAGTGTCGTCACTCAGGACTCCCAACCAATCTTACTGCTTAAAAACTCATGCAGGTCAAAGCTCCAAACTGCTATTTATTACCCATGGAAGCACACAGAAGTAATGGTGTTTTAAAAATAAATACTGACAAACTAATCCTCAGGAGACCTTCTAGGGGATTAAAAGAAAAAACTAAAAAAAAAAAAAAATCAATGAATATTGTTCCCCTCTTTAATTCCTGGGAAACTGAGGCAGAGATGGGTTGAAGCCCATGCCAAAAGCAGCAGTGGGATTTGTTGTCAGTGGGAGTATTGTTTTTATATATTTAATATATTTTTGGTTTTTTAAAATCATACAAAAAGACATTTTTCATATAGTTATTTCCTTCCCCGCCTGGGCGCTTTATTTTCTGCTCTGCGCTTCAGTTAGTTCTTCATGCCACCAGCCACCATGAGTCAACCTATCAGGAGGACGTGGCCACCGAGATCAGCACCACTGCGATGGGCAGCTCAGCCTGACCTCCATCTGCACAGCACGATGACATCTATCAATATTTTATGCATTTCTCTGCCTGGCTTTCAGAAGGGAGCTCTGTGCAGGAGAGGCAGACTGTGACCTTCGGAGGGCTGAACAATGGGCCCCAGCAACTTCATTCTGTCCAGCCTTCGCCGAGATTTAGAGTTATTTCCCGCATCAGATTACTTTTCGCAGGACTACAGGAGAACGCTTTAGCCTCTTCACCTCCCGTCATGATTGACAACCAGACAAGCTTAAAAACGAAGATTAAACTCCCGTCACATCCCCACTGAAAGCCAAGAAAACATTTCCCTGGCTGTAATTCAGTCCAACACCGCAACCATCCTTTGGCCTTCCACACCCACAACGTCCACTTCTACCTGGCTGGAAACACCTTGAAGACAGGCTGCAACCAGACACAGAAGGGAACAGCCCCCTCGCTCCCATCCCAAGGCTCCAGGGCCCAGCAGCCTCTGCTCATCCTCCTGGATCCAGCCGTGATGTATCAACCACCAGCTCTTCAGAAACTCTGCGTAAAGGCACAGATGCCTCCGACCGCATATCTTTGTTTTAATGGGCTAACATCATCAGGAACATGAAAACCATTGGGCGTAAAAAAAAAAAAAAGTCTGCTGAAGTTCCCCCTCTGCCTTCTTTCACTTCATCTCTTTGATCACAAAACTCGTCCGTATTGCTTCCTCCCAGCCCACAGCCCTTCCCATCTGCTTTGATTAGACATCCCAAATCACCCTTCCCTAACGCCTCGTTCTTCCGAAACCAGGACAGCGTTACAGGGCTTTGCGGTGGTTGTGCCTCTATCGCTCCAGATTAGTTATGAAGTTGGAAAGATTATTTTCCTAGCCTCTGGCCTTCACCCGGGATGTACCAGCGATGCTGCGCTTCTCTTGCAGGGAGAAAACTTGGAAGAGAATGAGGCTGTACAAAAGGAATTGAAAAATAAGTCATGGCTTGCAGAAAAATATCTTCACTGCTAGGGATGGAAAACTCGAGCAGTCCCTCAGCACACAGCAGTGAGTATATCACTGAATTCATCTCCAGCCTGCGGCGCTGAAGCCTTGCAGCAGAGAACCCCCAGGGTACGCCAAGAGCCCCCACACAGCCACATGGATTCAAGATCCAGCTACAAACGACTGACCTCACCTGTCCAGACACCGCTGCCCTCCCCGGGCAATGGAAAAAATAAGTCTTAAGGCATTTTTTAATCAAAATGTTAGAGCAAAACAAGATTTTTGTTTAAAAAGTGAAAAGGTGGGGACAGATCAGACCCAGGAAACAGAGGGTAATTAGGAAAAATTTTCCTTTTTAACAGATGGGAGATGCCCATCAGGCCAGTGCTGTGGTGCAGTTCCCTTTCATTTTCCTCTCTGGCAGGAGAGGTTCAAACGCCTCCTGCTCAGCCCACACAGTCCCTGTCCCACGCTCCATCCCACACACTGTGCTTCCAAGCCGTGCCTCCCGGCCGGCCGCAGCCCTTTTGGCAGGTTGCCTTGCAAGCCTGGGGCATGCTGCCAGCTGCAGGAGCTGGCTGGAGAGGCCAGGCTGGGCACAGCATCCCCTCAGCCTCCTTATTCCAGGTCGGACGGAACGCAACGAGCCCATGGAGGGGAGGCTCCAGGTGACGCAAGGCTCTTCCATCCCCCCGCCACCACCTCCTGAGCAAACAACCCCAGCGGTATATGGAAGAACTGCAGGGCAGGAGATGGGCTCCCAAAGAGGTTTTTCGGGTGTGGAGAATCAGGGAGGGGTTTAGAGGAGGTTTTCCACCTTCACACAGCATGCACCACGCTCATCTGAGCTTCCTCCCCAGATTCGGAGGATAACCCCACATTCTCAGCAAGCAAGCCACACGCTGAAGTCAATCAGAAATAACGGGAACAGGTTGTTTTTTGGTTTTTTTTACAAGGATGCAGGTACCAGCTGATTTCAGTAAAATCAGTGGTTAACAAGACTATTATTTCTCTAGAGCGCACAATGCTTTGGTTTAAAAAAACCAACAAGGGAATCACACATGCACCAATGTACGCTTGCAGATTGAGTTCAGAAGTACCCGCCGTTGTTGTGTTGATTTAATTATA